GCAATCCCAAAAATGGAGAGGCAGAAGATGACGAATTAGGCCTGACAAAGATAGGGATTGTTTAGAGGACAGAAGAGAAGTATTTGAAAGGAAAGAGAAAAGGTGACGAAAGTGAAATGTATGTATGCAAACGAAGAACTAAGAGTGTAGAAGATCTGCAGGCAAGATGAGAAATTTGGAAGATCTGCAGGTGAGAAAAGAAACTTGGAAGGTGACCAGCAGAAAGACATGGGAAAAAAGGAGGAGCTCTTTTAGGAAAAAGAAATGAAGCATGAATTTGTTTTACTTTGGTCTAAAAATTGTCTAGTATTAAGAAGTCCAGAAAAGAAATAAATAGAGTGTTCTGTGCAGGTCCTCAGAAGCATAGGTAAGAGCATTGCATCAGGAAACTATCCACAATGCATGACAGTATGTGCAGATGGCAGTATGTTGCACAATACTATAAAGCAGATATTGAAATCTAACATGATATCATTGTACTGTGATTATTTCACTGCTGTCTGAAGCTGAGTTTAGTGATCTATTTAACAATAAGTAACACAGCAGTTAACAGCCAAAGGAATCTTTTATTGATCAGAAATATTAATTTATAGTCTAAACTATGCACTCAAAGAGATGATGAGTACCTCTACTAATATAAAATGAAATATCTGGTTTGATATTTCCTGCAAAACCCAGTTTCAATATGAGTGTTCACAGTGAACATGTACCAAATCTCCATTAGTTGGTCAAGAACAAAGCCACCAGATGTTTTCTTGAAGCTTTTCCCAAAGGAAAGTATGGCTACATATGCAGGAAAAATTGTTCTGAGTTGATTTTAAGGGTATCTAGAATGGCAGCATTTAAGTTATGACTATTACAGTATCAGTAGGCTCATACACCTACAACTTGTCTCAGCATTGTTGTCAAGACAGCCACCACTAAGTCTACACCATGAAATCTACTTCACAGGGGCCCTAACTTCACCCATCTTTTGTATCCATATTCTTTATGGGTATTTCTGAATCCATCACCAAAATACTTTTGTTGATTTTAAGGCACTGCAAGCTTGTAGGGTGAGGGGCCATTCAGTTCCTGTTGTTAGTAGAAGGCAACATAAATGCAATGTGACAGAGTGCAAATAGTCTGTACAGGTCATGACTCTTCAGTAGTTACAATGCTCCAATTTCTGAGTCTTACAATGATGGTCTGCATAATCAAAGCCAATTTACTGGCAATTTGCCATCAGACAAATAAGAATATTAGCAGCTTCTTGTCTTTTCTTTCTTGACCATTTGTATTACAGACAGAGCTTTCTAGTGTTAGCAGAATTTTAAAGTCACTAAATTTCCCATTAAAAAAACTACCCTGCTGAAATATAATGGGTAATTTTTTTCTCTTAATAACTGGCATTATGCAAATACATCCACATATAGAAGACTTTTGGTCATTAATATCTCTCAAAGAGTCGGCAAGGCATTTTAAAATGCAGAATGTTTATCCATTCCCTCCCCACCCCCTGAATTTTTATTTACTTCTTAGAGGCTGAAGAGCACAGATCTAGCTGTTTTTACTCAATCTGTTTGTCTTTTAATCAGTAAATTCTCTCTTAAATCCATTTGGATGCATATAATAAACTTCATTATATTCTAACATTCTGTCATTATACTTTAAAATTCCAAGTGTCCATCCAAGAAACAGCCAATATGAGCTGATTTCAAGACTTCGATCAGATTTCAAGAACACAGGAACAAAATTTTGCTAAGTAAAATTTTCTTTTCAGGAGGAAAACCAAATTACCACGTCCATCCTAAGTTTTTTCTCCAAAGGGAAATCTAATGCAATAAAATTTAAACAGTGATAACAAAAGTATTTCTGTGAAATGAGTAATTATGTTGTGGAACTCCATACTGTATGTAATTAGAGAGGTCAAGAACTTAGTGGGGATTCAACACCAGGTTTTGACAGGAGTTATGAAGGGTACCAAAATAAAAACTTTGAAAGTGTTAGTGAGCCTTGTGTTTCAGGGCTAATGCAATTTTAAACAATTTGATATTATCAATAGCTGGAAAGAATTTCAAATCTCTGCTAATTGCTTCTAAAGACTTTCTAGTAATCACTAGGAATAGGCTACAGAGTTCTGCACAAAACTGGCCTTGTGTCTTATTCTGAAGTATCAATTACACTATTCCATATTTCTGCAACACTGTTAAGAGGCAAAATGTCTATCAGTGTCTATCAGTGTAGAACTACAGATGCAGATGCTTAGTCTTTTCTTCATGTATATTTGCTCTTAAACAGTAAGCAACTGCCTAAGTGTAAAATGGAGCTCTTTTCATTAGAAAGGCACAGCTACTATTCAAACCTCACTAATAATATTAGTTTTCTTGTGACCACCAAAGAAATGCAGATGAGGCCTATATGTAGGCATGTATATGTACATGCATATATGTACCAAATATTCTCCAAATAGTTGTAACAAAATATAATGTAGTCCTAATTTAGGTCCGGATTAAGTTGCATAGTAACACAGGTAAAGGAGAATATATTTTTAAGTAATATTCCAAATACTGATCTCCCTGGTAACATGAAAAGAAACACAGCTATCAACTGAATAAGGTGCTGGCCAGACTGTGTATTTTCATATCTGAGATATCTACTTAAAACCCAAAAGAGAAGTACTTTTTACTAAATGCTAAAAGAAATTTATTAAACTTCTGACGGTACATACACAAAATTTCATCTACCCAATCATGTAAAATCCCAGGAATAAAAATTTTTAAGGGATAATTATATGCTAAATTATTTCTGTTTTAAAATTACATATCATCTTATAAAAAGGCATTTAATATTTTATGTTTTTTACCATATGCTTTTTTCACCATAATCTAAAGACTTGGAAAAAATTTAAAATCATGCAAATCACCAAATGGGTGAATATTCCATTTGTGGTTTTATGTCTAATACTAATATTACAAAAGGTTATAATACTTTTCTCTCTGTAGACTCAGTGACTATGAAAGATACAGAAATTTTAGCCTCATCGTGATATTTCTTACTTAAGAAAGGGAAACAAATATTACAAACTACAAATTTGTCCCTGCTCCTTAAAATACTCAGTCCCTTCCAGGTACAATGTAAATTTTTTTCCTCATTTTTACTACTGCTTAGGTAAAAACATAGTCCAATGAACTGTGTAAATTCATACTTTCATTTACTTTCACTAACATTTTCTGCTTTGTCTCTTAAATTTTCTTCCCATTCGCTGAATACTTTTTTTTTTTGTGGGAACCAAATTTCAGGGGACATTTACATACAGGGAAAAATGGCAATCTAGTTGTCTGATATACAAATTATCAAATAAATTTGATTGCATTTAATTTTTTTCTCTCCTTCTCTCCTCCGTTACACAACTCTTTTTCCAAACAAAATCCCTGAAAAAACTTGAGTCTTCTTTTTGTCAGTTAGACTTATCTCCCAGTTAAGTGTTTTGTTCTGAAGAACTTAACATTCAGAAATGCTGTCCAGTTGCTGTTCCTGACCTATTCAGACCATGTACTTTGACCTCTTGTCTGGACCAGTGAGACAGAAAAGGATATATATATTGAGTTACATCACACATAGCGCTAATTAGAATAGCCTCTCTTTGTTGAGACAGGTAGAGGCAGGTTTCTATACAGCCATATTTTTTACAAGGCAACATGAAAAATTTTTGCAAAAAAAGATCTTGTCAGAACTGCTATATGAACCTCAAAGGTGGAAAAATATAAGCAGATTATCATATGCAAATTCTTTGAGGCAATCATTAAAATTTGATAATACATTTGAGAAGCTCTTATCTGTATTATCAAAGCCTATGGTATGCAGCTGCAATGAATGAGAAAAGATCTAAACTTCAGTCAGTAGGATTGCCTTTTTCTTCACCAAAAAGCTAATATTAAAGTGGATTACACCTATAAATCCAGTGTCTTTAGGTCTGGAATAGCCAAAGATAAGCAGCTGTTTATAATCATAAATTAAAATACTTGCAGTTTAACTTGCACCATGTTATGACTGAAATAACTGAATACAGATCCCTCTATCTTATGTATCGTATGCAAGACCTGTTGGAGCTAACCAAAGACAGCTCTTATTAAATATCAACATTTAAACAACCTGTTTAAATATACAATTTGTTTGATTACAGCCATCATTAATACCTGACTGTCAACAACATAGAATAAACTGAAAATCTGTCTTCAACATAAGAAATAGGTTAATAGTAAGGCAGAATTGGAAAAAATAAAAAAAAAATCCTCTGAGTGAAAACCAGTGTGTCCTGATGCTTGGTAAAACAGACACAACACCTAGGACTGGCTACCTGTAACACTTTGCTTCAGATAAAACTTTGAAGTGTTTATGGTTTTGGAAAGCTTTGTAACAATGAAAGATATAGTGAAAAGCCCTCACTAAATCACACTGTCAATATTTAGTCAGTGAGATATTCCCAAAAGTGCCTGCACGTGGGCATTTGTTTAAAAACTCTAGTTTAATATTTAGATTGGAAATTAAATTAAAGTTCTAAGAGAGAGTTTTTAAAATTTCCCAAGAGAACATGAAGTTGAACTGATTTTTTTTTTCCCACAGTAAGGTTTTACAAAGTAAAACTCAATGTCCAGATCTCTTGAAAATTTCATTGATCAACAAATGCCTCAAGTCAAGTATGTTTGTTACTTCTATGTTTGCTTTGTAATGTTAGTATAAGTAAGTCAGTATACGTATAAGCAATATCCATTTACTTCAGGTAACTTCCTGGCATATACACAGGGAACTAATGAATTCAGTGTTACACATGAATGTACATTTTAATGCAAGTTCATAATACGTTACTGATAATAAGCATCAGAAAAGGATTGTCATTACAGGAATTTAATGGAAGTACTTTAATTAACACTTTTTTATATTAGTATATAAAGATATTGATTGGTAAAATCATTCTAGATTTTAGGATTTAATTAATTTAATTTGAAAGACCTCCTTACCTTCTATTGCTGAGAGTAGAACACGAGAATGGTCGTATGCAATTACATTCGCATATCTATTCTTTGGTTTGTTTACTTCCAGGTTAGAGTGCTCCCATGTGAACTGCTGACCAGGATCAATAGACTTCAAAAGACAAAGAGAAAAAAAGGAAAGGAAACTTTGAGCTAGGGACTACATAATTGTTTTATTTATGGTGATTAGAAACTAAAATCCCATAGTTTTCTCTGGAAATAATTTCCTTCTGAAAGAAAATTGTTACCTCAGGACACATTGTAGCACATTAGATCATATTGCATTAACCATTTTGTATTTAAGCATCTGAAATTTCCATGTGGAATATAAACCACAAACTTTTAAAATCCGGGGCTTTTTCTTCAGAGAAAGCAAGCTATCCACCCTTTTATCTTTTTATTCATTTTGGAAAGTGAGGGGTTCTAGATTAACAGGAGATGAATAAATACCATAAATCTCAAAAAACACTAGGATGCCTTTATTAGTAAGAACACATGTTCAAAAATTTCCCTGTCCTATATACTAAGTAAACTCCAAAGGTTCCTGAAGAAGTTTTTCAGAAGAAAAAAAAATGTTTCTGTTCTTTCATTTTGATGCCAGACCAACCCATGGCACTAGTGTTGCTCAGGAAACTAGCTGTGTTTCATCCATACACAACATAATGAAACTTGCTTTTTATTTCCTTGAATCATAAATAAGTAAGAAATTCAGGCATATTTGAAATTTTAATGATATCTTATTCATAAACATAACTAATCTTATTCATAAACAAAACTACATGTTTCCAGATTTGCTGTTTATTTTCCGTTCCAGGATGGAAGTACAGAAGCATTCACCACACTCCTTCATCCTTCACCAGTAGGGAATCTTCAGACTCTAGTATTTTTACCTCTATGGTTGAATGATTTATGCAGCAAAGTGAATACAAAATAGGTAACAGATGGTACTGTTTATGCTCACTATGGCAGTGGTTGTATGAAAGGTCATCTCATACTGAGAAGTCATGAATAATCACCTATTGTTTTATTTTCCCTTTCTGTAACATTAGAGACCTTAAAATTGTTTCATCAATATGAATACATGACTACGGCTTGAGGTTTATGCCCTCTGTTTAATCCTGGTAAGAACTGGCAGCTCCCAATGACAGCTAGTGGTAAACTATTAAACAAAACAAAAAAAAAAAAAAAAAAAGAAAAGAAGAAAAAAAGACGAAAAAGATGACACAGATAAGCCAAGGTAGGGCACTTCACCAGCACTGTGCTCATTTTCCTCATGTAGACCAGCAACATGGCACAAATCAGGAGATCCTTACTGCCAGTACAGCATCAAGCCAACAGCTTTGCTGACTCTTCCAAGGGTATGACCTGTAATCTATCAGAGTAGGTATTACCTGACAATGAGCATGTGTAAAATTAGTTAATGTGATTTTATTAGGATCTATGCCTTAGACTGATAATTTGGCGAGTCTGAAAATGGTTTTATTCTCATGCATCTTTACATATTTTATAAAATTTATTTATTTAATATTTTGAGAATGACTTTGCTTCTTTATTGAGATTATGGGGAAAAAAAATCATTTTGCCTGGCTGCCTGATAGAGAAGCATTTGTCTTGGGAAAACAAACACCTCACAAAAAACAAGTGCCTTATCCTATTAACCAATACCCTAGGCTCAATTAACTTCTTAACAAATAATTATAAAATCCAGCATAGCCTAGGAATGGAGAGTAGAAGAGCGGGACGAGTCAGGTTCTGGCTCACCCTTTAGCTACAGCAACTGAGATAGAGTGCTTGGCACCTCCTCCCCAAAAGGAAATGAACGGGGACTGTCTAGAGGAATGAGGAAGAAATTAAATGCTTGGGATCATGACGAAGGCCATGAAAATTCTACTTATGCTTTGCATATGATTCATTGGAATTCACAAAATTCACAGAATCACTAGGTTGGAAGAGACCTTCAAGATCATTGACTCCAAGCCATGCCCTAACACCTCAACTAAACAATGGCACTGAGTGCCACATCCAGTCTTTTCTTAAATACATCCAGGGATGGTGACTCCACCACCTCCCTGGGCAGACCATTCCAGAACTTTATCACTCTTTCCATAAAAACCATTTTCCCAGTATGAAACCTATATTTCTCTTGGTGCAGAGGACTGTGTCCTCTTGTTCTGTCTGTTGCCGCCTGGAGAAAGAGACCAAACTCCACCTGACTAAAACCACCTTTCAGGGAGTTGTAGAGATTTGATAAGGTCACCTCTGAGTCTCCTTTTCTCCAGGCTAAACACCCCCAGCTCCCTCAGTTGTTCCTCACAGTATTTGTGTTCCAAGCCCTTCACCAGCCTTATTGCTCTCCTCTGAACACACTCCAATGTGTCAGGGTCCTTCCCAAACTGAGGGGCCAAAACTGGACACAGCACTCAAGGTTTCACCTCACCAGTGCCAAGTACAGGGGGAGAATATCCTCCCTGCTCCTGCTGGCCACACTGTTCCTGATCCAAGCCAGGATGCCCTTGGCCCTCTTGGTCCCCTGGGCACACTGCTGGCTCATGTTCAGCTGGCTGCCACCAGTCCCCCCAGGTCCCTTTCCAGCCACACCGTCCCCAGGTGTGGCTGGAAAGGGACACCTGTAACATTGCAGGGTGTTATTGTGGCCAAAATGCAGGACTTGGAAGTTGGACTTCATCCTACTGGACTCTGCCGATCCCTTCAACCGTTCCAGGTCTCTCTGCAGAGCCCTCCTACCCTCCAATAGATCAACACTTAGTGTCATCTGCAAATTTACAATGAAGGACTCAATCCCCTCAATACCCTCATCAATAAAAATATTGAACAGAAGTGGCCCCAGCACAGACCCCTGAGGACGCCACTGGTGCCTGGCCCCAGCTGGATGCAGCATTAATATATTTATAAAAACATTTTTTGTTATTCTTCATGAAAAAAGTCACCATTTTAAGTTCAAACTGAGCTCAGGCTCCCTAATTTTTTTTTTCTACATACTCTAACAGCCCTCTTAAATACTATCTGAGAAACCTGACTCTCCTTCCTAAGATATACATCCTTTTTTTATTCCTGAGTTCTTCCAAAACCTCCTTGCCCACCCAGGCTGGACGTTTGCCTCTTTGACTCGTCTTTCGGCACACAAGGACAGTCTGTTCCTGTACCATTTTGAGACATGCCTACCCTTTCTGAACTTCTTTACTTTTAAAGCTCTCTGAATGAGTCTCCTGAATAGGCCAAAGTCTGCCCTCCAAAAGTCCAATGTAAAAGTCTTATTGATGCTCCCCCTTGACTTCACCAAATATTGAGAGTTTTGTAATTTCATGATCACTCTGCCCCAAGCAGTCTCCAACCACTACACCTCCCACCAGCCCATCTCTATTTGAAATCAGCAGGGCTAACACGTCCCTTCCCCTGGGGGGCTCACTCACCTGCTGCAACAAAATGTTGTCCTCTACAAACTCCAAAAATTTCCTGGACTGCCTCTTTTCAGCTGTATTGAGTTCCCAACAAATGTCCGGCATGTTGAAATTGGCAACAAGAACTAGGGCCGATGGTCCAGAAACATTCTCTAGCTGTTTACAGAATGAATTGTCCACCACTTCTTCCCGGGTGGGTGTACCATAACAGATTCCCAGTAGGATGTCAGCCTTATTGGCCTTCCCCCTAATTGTATCACTGTATGTGTTACTTTTGAACTAACAGTTCAAAAGGCACTCTTGAATTAAGATCTGAAAGAACCTGATTTTTTAAAGCTTCTACACAATTTTTGACACCAAACTATTTGGATTCACTGTCTTAGAAATTTGAGTGACTATGATCAATATATCTTAAAATGTCAGTAGTATTAGGAGATTATTAAGTCAGTATCTAAATAGACAAAGGTTTGCAAAACTGGTGATGGATTTTTTTTTGGAGTCAAATTGTATTTTGTTTACCTATAAAGGGACAGTGAATTTTTCCACATGCAAAGGTAGACATCTCTTCTGTGCTATGCTTAAGTATTAACAGTGATGTGATCCAAGAGTAGTGTTTCACCCTTCTCCAACAAAAACATTACTTTTTCTGACTACAAAGTGAAATTCTTTTCATCAATAAAGCAAATGGTATAATTTTACTCTCTAATTTCACTCTGTAATACTTTTATTCCTTTTTCTTACAATTTAGTTTCATTCTAGTACTGTTTTCCCATGCTCTGAGAAGGATGGCTGGTAGAATTTTGAAGCGGGTATGCACTGTGTAATTTAAAAACATAAGTATTTTATCTTTACTTCTAAGTGCTATTTATTTCATCAAAGGTGCAGAGAAAGAATTTGGAGTGCATTTCTATCGGTGCTGGGAAGAGTTTTATATATATATATATATATATATATATATATATATATATATATACACATATATATATATACATACAATATTTAAGACATCATATGCCTCTTTATCAGCAGGCCAACAATTCACTTACATCATATGACTTGAACACTAATAAAATTTACATAAAGACTTCTCTCAGCACAAATCTTCCCTCTTTTCCTTTTTGAGTTAATGAAGGTGAATAAGAAAATTTATGCAGTTTATATACAGGTCAAGTTTTCAGAATTTTGGAAAATAATTTTTATGGATTTATTTCAGAATTCTAGTAGAAATTTAGAAGACAAACATTGTACAGAAGATGCTAACTATATATTTGTGCATTAACTTTTAAAATAACATTGGTAACTTGACCAGGAATGATACACATCTATATCCCTGACTACCCAGACAGTATTTTTTGAGAGACATATATGGAAACATGCTATCTAAACCACTGTCCACTGCCCTACAATGAAGCATAGTACTCTGCATTGTTCTAGAAACATAACTGAAGCAGACCATCTGTCTTATCTCTTAGGTTTTTACCTACACTGCCAAAGTAGTCTGGAAGTTACTTCACAATGTGAGATGTCAGGTACACTTTCTCTTCACATAAGAAAACTAGAAAATAACTGAATCAACTGCCTGTCTAACACGCTGCTATTTTTGAGCCTGGACTGAAGGACTTTGGCTTTAAATCATAAAAACCAAAACAGGTTGTAAAAAATGATAAAAAATGGTTAAAACCAGTAAGTTTAA